GGGTGCAGCCTGGACTTTGAGACTTTTAAACATTGTCCAGGTGCCTTCGACACAGAGCAAGGTTGAGAGCCACCGAGCCAGGAGTTAAAAATCCACGTTTAAAGCATGTGCCTTAAAACAGTTCCAGTTCACTCACAACTAACAGCCCAACCTCTGTCGACAACCACATTTAAAATTTTGATTGATGGGTCTCACACAGTCCACTGTTGAGAGTTGGAAATTCAGCCCCAGGAGTACCTGCCCAATCCCAATTCTCAAAGTTTTGGCCAGTGAAAAGCATATCAAAAACAAACAATTGTGAAACAATGCATACTACTTATTCCCTTTTCTGTTGATCTTTGTTTTATGTTATTGGAAAAAAAAATTATTCTCAGGGCAAGAATAACTTGATTCAATAAAGGTGCTAATTTGAATCCCTTGTTGATAGTACGCATTTGAGATCCCCATGTTAAAACAAAAAGGAGAAAAAATTAAAATACATGATAGAGACTAATGAAAAAAGTTTCTAAATTCAGAATGGTAGCATACCCAGGAGGACTGGTGGAATTGTTCTATTTCAAACACACTGTGGAAGAATGGCCACCTGACAATCATTTCTTTTGGATGAGATTCATGGGATATAAGTACACATCTATCTGCTTAGAAAAACACTCATCGAGAGCTGCTCAAACCCATCAATGGGGCCTTGGATCACAAAATTCTGTGCTGTTTAGAGATCTGCTAATGAAATATTTTCTTATCCTATATGCCAGGCTAATTCGGTCTAAATTTAAAACTTTTTAGTGGAATGTGGATTACAAATTATTCAGACTTAAATGAAGAACTACAACTTTTAAGTTGTGCTCTAAATGTTATATCTGGTCCCCTGTGTTTATTGAAGAACCAAATTAAAGGGTCTTCTGCTTGGAATTTTTGAAATCTAGACTAGATCAGGAATAATGCCCGTCCCAGCCTACTACTGTTCAGATGACAGTTTTTTTTTATTAGCCCAGAGTTTTGTCACTTTTGTCAGAATGTCTGATTTCTAAATCTTATGTGCTGGTGGATTTTGGGTAAAAACACGCATGAAAAAAATGCACGCTTGTGCACACACAAACATGCGCAATGAAAGAAGAAGCAATTTAAAACAAAAATAAAATAGAAAAATGGTAGCTACTTCTTGTCGAACCAAAAAAAGAAGGAAAAACATCTATGAAAGATGCAAGTAGCTAGGAGGAGGAAGAGTTATTTAGGGTATGATAACCAGGAATTATAACTAAGATTCATGGTAAGGAAAAATTTATACTATGTGGCCAGAATAGATGGTTTGTGGCCACAAACTATTTCCCCCCTTTCTCCTCAGTAAAAAAAAATCCTGATCTTATTTGGGCAGCAATGAACCCAACCAAATGATGTTATTTCCCAAACTCCTTTGCAGCCAAATTTGACATGTGATTAAATTCCGATCAATGGTGTAGAAGCAGATTGTTAAGTGCCACTCCAGGGTGGGGGTGAGACTGCCTTAACCAAGGTGGCTCAGGTTACAGGCAAGTCCCTTCCGGCCTTCCCCCTTCTGAAATAAGGAATTCCAGCAGTCAACTTGGACCCTGGGTTAAAAATGGAAACTAAGACCAGGATGTGAAACAAAAAGACTAGAGCTGAGTCCCTAAAAACTTTGTAAAGCTGCCATGTTTATTCTGGACGAGCTACCTCTGGACTTGTGGTTTTTGGTTTTTGTTGTTGTTGCTGCTGTATTCAACTCTATCAAAAACCCAACTGATTGAGACTGGCGTGAAAAGTCATCAGAATCAAAATGGAGTCACTCATGGTAAGAAAACCCTGACAAATAGAGATGGGGAGACCCTGAAGGGAGGGATCTCATGCTTGTATGCCTGGTAATAAAAACTATCACAAAAGACTGCAAAATGCACAACCTTGCACAAAAAATACTTCTGCAAAGGATTTCTGCCCAGCAACTGCCTGTCCAGCCTCAGACTTGTGTCACCCTTGTTATTGATCTTGGTAGCCAAGGAGAATTATTTCAAAACAATTATGTAATCCTCATTTTTTTCCCCTTTAAAAGCCTTTGTCTTCCTTTACTTCCCTGAATACATACAGTTTCCTACGGCATGCATGTTTCCATTGCAATGCTCTATTCCCAGATAAATATGTTAATATTTTCCTTTAGAGGGCCTCTCTCTGTTATTTAGGTTGGCACTGAAAAAGGAAAAAATACATCACAGGATCCCTGACCTAGGCCCTTGCTACTCAAAGTGTGGTCCCTGGAAGAGTACACTGTGGGCATCGCCTGGGAGCTTGTTAGAAATGCAGAATCAGGCCAAGCATGGTGGCTCATGCCTGTAATCCCAGCACTTTGGGAGGCCGAGGCAGGAGGATCATGTGAGGCCAGGAGTTCAAGACCAGCCTGAGCAACATAGCAAGACCCT